TCTTTTTATTCCATAATTATAAAAAGTACATTTTATTAGCATTTCAGATCATATTTTTAGCACGTATTTCGAAATAAAGCATTGTTATACATGAGTTTTTACATCCGAAACATTAACATTATGAAATTATAATATATTAAATATTTAATAGGTTTACTGTTTAAGTTTCATTCTAAAGAACATTCAGGAGGTGCAGGTTAACAGCTTCCAAAGAACTCAGTGATTCAAACTACTTAGTTGTATGAATTTCACCCTTCAACTTAATTTGTAGGGTGCAAACACTATCTATCATACAAATACTTTTTGAATGACATGTCATGGATAGTCAAATACTCATCAATCCTCATAAACAGATGCACCATAGGCTAAAGTTATGGAAAAAGACAAGTCAAACACAACCAAAAGATGCACATACCTTTAAGGAATTCCAGCTATCCGACTCGAGTAACTGGGAAACTGGACTTGCTGAAGGCATCCATCGCCCACTGATGCATCAACCAGTAAATTATCCTGATGTCAGATTGTATGGAGTACGAACTTCAACAAATGACATGGAAAAAGATAAAATAAATAAATAAAAGGCTTCATGTTACAAAGTTTTACATTCCCCAAAGTTCCATGATATCAAAACAATTCTGAACCGGTAGAAAAGGAACGTGCAACAAAAATCAACTGAGTATCTCTTTCTAACAAAGTTCTTAGTGATTTGATAAATGAAAATTACACAAATGTTAAGGAGTAAATAACCAATTATGAATCGTAATCAAGCACACTAAGCAATAAAGGGGTTGCATGCTACTAGAAGAAATAAAGATAGATCTCAACCACCTGTTCCCTGGGGTACTTGGTCGGCTTGGTATTTGCAATGTCTCCCAATTCCTTGGCCTACTAATATAATTACGATAAGCTACGTATCCTTTTCCATTGCCTCTCCAGTCCTTAAACAAGCAATAAAGTTCTATGAAGTCACTGCATAGCTAATCGCAACAAAATACAAAGATCCTACAATCAAAATGTAGGATGAAGTTGCATATAGTTTACACAACGAACCACAAAAATAAATCTAGATAAACCGAAAGTGGCACAAATGCATGCCAAGTAAGCAATGAATTGTTCATAATGAGATCCTATATACGACTGAACCAGGAGACCAGTATGTATATCATTAATGAATAAGTAAATCAAAAAGGAAAAAAAATGAATACATACAACACGGATGTATTTAACATTTGATTCTGAAGAGAAATCACACGTACGCACAGCGATGACGCAGTTACATATAATCACGTGTTCTAACATATGCGTGAAAGAAGCGTACCTTGCGACGAAGCACACCGGATTCAGCTTTGCGATGGAGGAGGAACCGGCGTATTCCAATGTAATTTGGATCTGAATCGGCAGGCACTGGCTGAAGCATACAACTGAAAAACTCAGGATTTGCAGTAAAATCCTTTTTCTTCTCAATATTCTCCTCCTTCAGTTCATGATCATCACCTTCAGGCGAGCTCCTCTGAATTGTCGTCGATTCCGCCATTTCGAGAAAATTCAGGTGAACTCTTCATTCAAAAAATCGCCTCCTCCGGCAACCAGATCGTGGAGGAAGCGCTTTTCAAATTATTATTTATTCTCTCGGCGATGGGCTGAAAACGGAGTTGCCAAAATGTGAATTGTGACGACTAAGGCGAATGTGCAATTGAGTAGTTTCCGTCTCCTGCGCCATTTTTTGGTGACGGTGCATCTTATAAAAAAAAATTATGGCGAGTAACTCCTATTCTTTCTATTTTTGTCATTTTCTCCCCGAAACTATAAAGCTTTACGAGAAACACCCTTCTCCTTTTGCTTTTTCCACTTTCTTCCCATAAAATTCGTTTTTATTTTTTCCCTTCCCAAAACTATTGGGAACAAGCCTTTCTAGCTGTCCCAAATTACATTTATGCCCAAATTAGTTAAAGACTAGAAAGAATAAATGAATTTATATAAGTTGAATATCATTTTTCATTTCAATAAAAAAGAAAGCTATATATGGAGTGGTGAAGTAAGCTAAAATATGACTCAATATTTTATATAAAAATTTCTTTAAAGTTATATAAATTTAAAGATAAAAAAGTACGATATAGGTTTTGGAAACCTATTTTTTCCCTTAAAACTCATTCCAACTTTTATTTTCTTCCTTTCTTGTATATTTCATTTGCTTCAATTTCACTAATTACAAAGTATTTTTTATTTGAATTTTGGATTTCAATATTACTTTTCAAAATATTATTTTTATGAAACTGTTATTCCGAAATCAAATCTAGACAACAGTTGTTTCTTAGAATTGAAACATTGAATCAATTAATTTAGAGTCAAACTTTTAAAAGAAACTAAGTGCGACCTACTTAAGGTGGTGTGTATATATATATTGATGTATTACGAAGCTAGCAAGTAAATTTAATTTTTTTGTTTTTCACCTTTTTTTGATTGACAGAATTCACTAAAAGTGAAAAATTCAAATGCTGTGAAGATTGGTTAAAAAAGGTACTTTCAAATGCCAATGTTTTAAGATATTAATGATGTAAAGGGTAAAATAGTCCGTAAAGTAGTATACTAGAATTTTATGGGGGAAAAATGATTTATATTTGTACTTTGATATGTTACCTTTAATATTATACCTTGCGCTTGCAGGGTAATTTTATTCTTTGTGTATCAGTTGCATATGAATACTATTTAAGGTCCACTAGCTGGTTTTGCAGTTATATCTCTCATTATGAAATATATATATATATAGGGGCGGACCCACTAAGCCAGACGCGGGTGCTCGAGCACTCATTGATTTTCAAAATTTTTTGTATATGTATAGAAAATATGATACATATGTTATTATAATTTAAATAAGCATCCATAGAACAAAAGCAGCCGTGGGTGAGTTGGTTTAAACCTCCTCAACAAGAGGTGTGCGAAGCCACTAGCGAGAGTTTGAATCCTGCAAGTAGCATTATTAATTTTTTTCCAGCGAATTTTGCACATGGTCGTCGCTTGTTAGGAAACAAATAAACACATGGAAATTATACACCCAATGACTTGTATCACATTTGCTAAAATAACGTTTGCAACTGATCAATAGTCAACTTGGATAAATGAGTAACTATGAATACATATATGTCCAATTCAATTTTCTTTAATGACTTTATTTTGTTTTCCTCACAAGGACCCAACATGTACGCTGTATAAATTATGAGGCAGCAGGAGCTTGAAATGATGAAATTTATTGGTTTCATACTATAAGAAACAAAATTACAGAATGCTACATTGGAAAAGGAAAGAAAAGAAAGATGAGATTTCATGTACATCATCATGATTTGGCTGCTGTGGACTCATCAACTGGATGCCAAAAACGATTATTAACCCATATTTTATCAGCTTCCACAGCATATCCATCTTGATTACGATGCCAACTATAATAAGCATGAGTTCTATTCTTGATCGCCAGAGTAGCATGTCCAAAACTGGCCTCGCGGAATGCAGAGTAAGCTGGTTGTGGCTCCGTCATGCTGAAATTAGTGTACAAGATATCAGATTTAGTTGAGTTGTCTCACAGAAACGCCAACCGCAACACATAAAACAACTTTCGAGACTTAGACTATTAGTCTTACTTGGTGGCTAGGCCTTCAAGATTTCCTCCATCGCCTATTGTTATATAAATTGGAGCAGATTGATCTTTAATAGGGCTGCATTCCCCATTGACAACGTTATAGGCCACATTAGATATCCGTTCCTGAAACACAGTTCAAAATTTACATTTTCTATAACAGATGAAACTATGATTCTTCACATAAGCTACAGAGAACTGGATGATCGAGTTGTACATACTGTTCGTTCATAAGCATGAACATGACCTGCAAAAACCATATCCACTTTGTACTGTACAAACCATGGCTCATACACTACTCTCATGGTTTCCCCTTCCATATAGTGATTGTTGTAGCTGTTATACAATGGAGAATGTACTAAAACAAACAGCCACGGAGTCTCACTCCTGTTGACCTTTGGTAGTTCTTTCTCTAACCATTTATATTGAGGAGTGTATTTACCTAAAATTTGAAAAGAACAAACGAACTGTAAGAGAAATAGACAAATCCACAAGTCCTAAATTTTCCTAATAGCCTTTTTAAGTCACCAAGAAAATGCATTATGAATTATAGGGAAGCAAGGTTGAACTGCGTGATCATCTCATCTAAAAAGTTAAGTTGTTAAGTAATACTCGCAAGCATATCCTTACCAAATGTTGAATATGAGGATAGAACTATGATATATGCTGAAGCTCGCTTGATTGAATACCAAAGTGGAGATGTGCTGTTTGATGCTTTATACGGAACATGATACCGATGAGTATAGGGCCTTGAAGGGCTTTGTTTCTCCCTGCAGGTAGTAACAAAATGTATTCATCAAAATTCCATTGCAGAACCATCACTAAGATCCAGAAATGCATTAAATCTCAATGAGCTAACATTACGGTATCACTTACAATTTCAGGAGCAAAATCTATCTCATGATTCCCCGCGGTCCAAATCCAAGGTTGATAAGCAGTACTTCTCTCTGCAAACCTCCCCCATGTATCCCATCTGTTATTGTCGTGATTTGGATACCTATCTGCGTAAGATATGTCCCCTACGAACAACACTGCTTGCCCCTTGATTGGATTTAATTCATAATGAGTGAGTGTCTTGTTTGAATCGAAACTCTGACCAAGATCCCCTGTAATGAAATGCAGGATTGAAATGAAACCTCAAAAGCAATGGTAAAATAATCGAAGAAAGCTCCAACAGCAATAATATTGTTGGAATTGTTACCTACAAGACCAAATGTATAAGCTACATCAGGCCCAACTTCTGGAGGAGTTACAAACCAGAAAGTTCGTGCTACGTGCCCAATCCCAATCTTATAGTAGTATTTGGTATCGAACTGCAAAAGGAGAATTAAATCCATTGTCAATTTGAGCATCCAGCTATATTAAATTTTGTTCAAGGAATGAAACAAAGAATGTTAACCTTCAAATGTTTGATAGTACAGTGGTGGATGTAACCAGATGTATAGTTATAAAACTTATAGTTAGTAACTTTTCCGTTGGCCTTATTCTTTAGCTTGCTTTTCTCACTCCAGTATACTACTGTACTTGAACCAGTTTCATCCATTGTCACCCATGAAACAATTACCGCCTTTCCTTCGTGATCTCCTTGTGTTATATGAACCTTATAAAGGAACCCCAAATAGAATCAATTGTCAAATAAACCAAATTCCATGAAAATGACAAATATTTAAACAATGGAGTTTGATTTGGTCGAAAGTAGTATAGAAGAGGCACTGAATAAGCAGCTAACATAAACTACTATTATACAAACGACCCGTGGGAGGCCTTTCAAAGGCTATCATTTGTAAGACGAGACTCCAGAGGCTAACCTCCTTATGCCTTGGGAATGAAAAATATGAAGATACCTGTTGAGGCGCATTATATCCAGGAGGAATACGGAAGACATCACTATCCAGAGGCATATCAATTGTGTTCTCAACCTGTTTTCATCCTGTGTTATAAAATCAGAAATTACTGGTTCTAATAAATCATTCAGAAACACAAAGTAACTGAGAATTTTTATAATCAGTAAATAAGATGAACAGAAGTTTATTTGTAAAAAAATAATTTAATCTGTAAAAAACGTACCAGAATCTGGAATACTCTTATTGAAAATTTAGGAAGAAAATCAAGTCCACTGAATTCACAGTGTTCCCTTAAGGAAATTATTCCCTCTAGTATCCAAGGTTTGATTTGGACTATAACCTCCCAGGGTAAAATGATTTTAATTAGTAGAGTATAAATACCAAAAACTCTACTGTCAGCGAATCAATCCACAGCAGGAAAGTACGTGAAGAAATATATGTTTTTAAGAAGAAGGAAGATCAGAAAAAATTCTGAAGATTGAATGGTATTTATAGGCAAGAAGAATATATTCTGAAACGTTGCAACCCTTTCAGAATTAACACAACCATTAATGAAAGGTTGCAAACTTTCAAATGGTATTGACTGTTTCTGAAAGTTGCAACCTTTCAGAACAGTCATGGCGGGAAATTTTGAATATAACGGAATTTAAAACGGGTCACTCGCGCGGATCTGAGTCGGGTCGGGTTAACTAAAAAGTTGAATTAATTAATAAATAATTAAAATAAATTTTGTCCAAAAAATTATCTCTCGATCATTTGCCAAAGCCGAAGCGAGCGACGACGATGGCGCGAGGGTCCCTCTTCACAACCCTTTTAACAATTAATAGGAGTGTTTAAAACTCTCCTATTTTCCTTTCTATTACCGATGAGTGACTATTGCCTTTTTCAATAAAGCATTAGAGGACTTTTCAAGTTCTAAACCTTTCAAATTCCTCTCCTTCCCTCTATTTCCCATCAATTCTTGCTACATACCCAACACAACCTTCCTAACAAAACTACTGGTGACTCCGCCATTGCGTAAAACTGACTCATTCACAATAAAACTGAGAACAACAAAAATGCAATAACCAAACACACCCATCTTGTGGGAAAACTCAACTTTCGCATTAATCAAGAGTAGTAGCTTCTATGTATATATATGCATCCAGGAAATACGATCCCTCCAAATGCTCCAATTCATTTTAATTGTCATGCTTACTTAAAAAAAACATGTTTAAAACAAGTTGTCATTTTAGAAAATCAAAATATAATTCACTATTAGTATGAATTAATAATTATAATGTGGATCATATGAATTATTAATCAAACTTAAAGTGGTCAAAAGTTTAGTTAGGAGAATATCTTCAAATCTCGTTTCGTAATAATGCAATCTCAATATTTATGTTGAATCAAATTTAATATTAGCATTAAAGAAGTCATTCCTAAGCTTGTCCCATGCCGTTGATTAAATTGTACGATGCGGTGGAACCTTTTATTTATTTTCGCAATTATTGTTATTCTATAGTAATTTTTATTTATTTTCGCAATTATTGTTATTATGTAGTAACATGTAAGTTGGTTGTTACGTATATATTCATATTTCATACATTGAATATTATTTTGTATACTCATATTTCACACATTTATTTATTTATTCCTGGTCCACTGATATTAATTAGAATTAACGCTCCACATGAGTACGATTATTTATTTGTTACTTACTCGTAAAGTCGTGTATATATAAAAACAAAAAAGATGTGAAATGGGGAAAAAGATTTCGGCCACGTGCTCCTGGATATATTATAGTAGTTGTTAATTTACTCATATGATTATGTCTATGGCACGTTTTTTCGTTGATTAAAACTTGATACTTTTTTATTAATTTATATGATTATATCACATGATATGTCTAAGGCTTTACCCAAAAAAAAAAAAGTCTCATCCTCTAACTTTGACAAATTTTAAATACATTATATTCAATTTTTAATTCTAATTTTTATATTGGATAAATGAATAATAATATGAAGAAACATGTCCATCGTTTTTCTTTTAAGACGTTTTTTTGGTTTTCCACACAATTGACTCTTCTGCCACGTCTTAAATGGACGTTTTAAAAATTATGAGGCAGCAAGAGCTTGAAATAATAAAATATTTATTCGTCGACAAGTACACAATGTTACTGAGGAAAAGGAAAGAAAAGATGGATGAAATTTTGTGTATATCACATATCATGATTTGGCTGTTGTGCACTCATCAACTGGATGCCAAACTCGGTTGTTAACCCATATCTTATCAGCTTCCACAGCATATCCATCTTGATTACGATGCCAACTATAATAAGCATGAGTTCTATTGTTGATGGCAAGAGTGGCATGTCCAAAACTGGCCTCGCGGAATGCAGAGTAAGCTGGTTGTGGCTCTGTCATGCTGAAATTAGTGTTACAAGATATCTAATTAGTTGAGTTGTCTCACAGAAACGCCAACCACAACACATAAAACAACTTTCTAGACTTAGATTATCTTACTTGGTGGCTAGGCCTTCAAGATTTCCTCCATCACCGATTGTTACATAAATTGGAGCAGATTGATCTTTAATAGGACTGCATTCTCCATTGACAACGTTGTAGGCCACATTAGAAATCCGTTCCTGAAACATAATAAAAGCTTACATTTTCTATGACAGATGAAACTATGATTCTTCACATAAGCTACAGAGAACTGGATGATCGAGTTGTACATACTGTTCTTTCATAAGCATGAACATGACCTGCAAAAACCATATCCACTTTATACTGTACAAACCATGGTTCATACATTACTCTCATGGTTTCCCCTTCCATATAGTGATAGTTGTAGCTGTTATACCATGGGGAATGTACTAGAACAATCAGCCACGGAGTCTCAGTCCTGTTAACCTTTGGTAGCTCTTCCTCAAGCCACTTGTATTGAGGAGTGTATTTGCCTAAAAAATGGAGGAAAGAAAAGGAACTTTATTGGGAGCAAGGTGAATGCGAACAAAATATTGACATCGACTGTAGACTGAAATTTTTGGTATTACTACTTAACGACTTCTAAATTCTTCAAGAACTGGATAAGTAACAGACTGTAGATGACATTTTCTGGCCGAGTACTTCTAAGTTCTATGTCCACGCTAAAGAAGAGGAAAAGGGAAAGCATAAACCAGTTCATAACTCAATGCTAAGTATCATTCACAAGAATTCTGTATCCTTACCATATGCTGAATATGAGGATAAAACTATGATATACGCTGAAGCTCGCTTGATTGAATACCAAAGTGGAGATGTGCTGTCTGATGCTCTGAATGGGACATGATACCGATGAGTGTAGGGCTTAAATGGTTTTGTTTCCCCCTGCAGGCAGTATCAGAATATATTCATCAAAATTCCATGCAAAACCATCTAAAATCTAGCACATTACTATTGAAGGAATGGAAAAGCACAAGCAAATTGTCTTTTTTGCAGTGGAGTTCAATCAATAAACTCTATAACCACACTAGTTCTCTCTAAAGAATACATACTTGCTCATTATTAAGCTCTCTAAATATAGTCATTTTTATCATGCAAGATGAATCTCGTTAAACTTCCTTTGCAAAGCTGAGGAAATGTTTATCTATTTTTTTGTTGGAACAGAGAGAGATATCAGCTTTCTGTACAACTGTAGAATTCATGCAAGTAACTATGCTTTCTGTTCATACATTGAAGGAAAAGAGTTTTAACACAGCTTCTTCTCAATCGGCTGAAGGTCAAGAAATGCATTAATAAAGCTCATATAGCTCAAAAAATTAGGTTAAAGCATCCATGAAATACACAAGAAACAAATTTTGAGCAATAAGCGAAAAAGTATGGAATCACTTACAATTTCAGGAGCAAAATCTAACTCATGATTTCCTGCTGTCCAAATCCAAGGTTGATAAGCAGTACTTCTCTCTACAAACCTTCCCCATGTATCCCATCTTACATTGTCATGATTAGGGTAGTTATCAGCATAAGATAAGTCACCTACGAACAACACTGCTTGCCCCTTAATTGGATTTAATTCATAATGTGTGAGTGTCTTGTTTGAATCAAAACTCTGACCAAGATCCCCTGTAATGAAATGCAGGTTGGCTGAGAAATGCCGCACAAATGCTAACAACAGCATAAATGGTTTTTAGCTATCATTTATCCTTTTCCTTTGGAAGTATGCAAAGAGGTTGTCACTGAACCATGTTCAACATATGCACAGAAGGAGAAGCATGCTGTATCTATAATGTACATGTAACGAAGTTAATGCGTCATGCAGATAATGCTGTTTCACACAACAAACTAGAAAATTTGCCATCTCTCAATCCTAGATTCAGGGTCTCAATTATATTCACATCATCGTGATTGTACAGTCCATCTTTATTTTGGTACGGTATAGAAAGCACAATATCAATGAAACTTCAGAAACAGTGCATAAAATAACCAAAGCAAGCTCCACGAAGTTCCAACAGCAATGATTTGGTTGAAAAATTGTTACCTATAAGACCAAATGTATAGGGTACATCAGGGCCGACTTCTGGAGGAGTTGTGAACCAGAAGGTTCGTGATATATGTCCAATCCCAATCTTATAGTAGTATTTGGTATCAAACTGCAAAGGAGTATTAAATCCGTTGTAAGTTTAAGCAGGGTTAAATTAGTCTACAAATGCTCAAGAAACCAAAATTATCCAACCCAAAAAGGGAATGAAAGAAAGAATATTCACCTTCAAATTTTTGATATTGCAGTGGTGGATGTAACCAGAAGTATAGTTATAATATGTATAGGAAGTAACTTTTCCGCTGGCCTTACACTTATGCTTGCTTTTCTCACTCCAGTATACTACTGTACTTGAACCAGGTTCATCCATAGTCACCCATGATACAATAACAGCTTTTCCCACATGATCTCCTTGTGTTATGTGAACCTTAAAAAGACATCCCAAACAGAATCAATTGGCAAATAAACCATATTTCCATGAATGATACAAGCATAAACAAAATTTGTGACATGAGAATACGTTTTTATCCAGAAAGAGTAAAAACTTTGTATGATTTCACGGGTATGTTGTTCATTT